TGATACTGAAGACCTTAAAATTCAAGAGATGCTAACTAGCTTTTATTTTATAATTGTGTTTTAAGTATAAAACACTTCTGTTACACAGCAAGCCCAAACATGTATACATGAAATCTGGATAGGGAAAGGAGGATCAAGGAGAATCATTTGAACTAGTGTATTTAATGTCTTGTCTAATATTTAAGCATATTTTTTCTATTCTCTTTCCTTTGGATCACTTCAGATGCGTACTGTCTTTCTGGGTCTCCCTGTTGATAATTATAAAGTAGTGGCTGTTTTTAAATGCAAGCACAGAAAAGGTGGAGAGCGCTGTAATGGAGGAATGACTCATTCTCAGCAGTACGGATAAACAGACCAGTCCTCTGCATTACCTCTTCTGCATAGAAGTCAGTGTTCATTGGTGGAACTTTTTGTTTATCCTTGAACTTGGAAAATTATGGAAGGTTCCCTTCCTGGAAGGAAGAGAATAGTAGAGAACAGTAAAGGATCTGCAAAAGAATAATATTCTTAGTTATAATTCTGTCATCCTTTTTTAAGGTTATTGGAATCCCTCATGTGTTACAGAGGGCAGTTATGCATGATGACAGTAACCATGGCTACACTGGTTTTTAAATAATCTGCGAGAGCAGATATATTGAAATACCAAGGAATAAAATACAGAAACCACTAGCTGCTAAGTGTTGTAAAGAAATTCTTTACTGGGGAGATTATATCAGTTAGCACAGGAGTCTTTTGTGCTTGCCACTGAACGTTGTGGTCCTTCTCATGATACCGGAGTAAATGATCAGTTTGCCTGATACAGCACATGGCTGTTGGTGTTTCAGCTTGTTTTCTACTTACATGCATGTATTTAACTGTTCTTTTGTATATGAGAAGAATTTACAGATATTGAATTATATCTTGTGTTATGAAATATCTAATTAAAAAGGCGATGGTACCGTCTGTTTCCATTTTGGTTTGTTTTTCAAATTTGAGATGTGTTTACAAAACACGGTTACTTGAAATGCTGTTCCTCTTGTAGCTCTCATAACCCCGTTTTTATGAAGACTGCTATAGCTTTAGCTCACTGTGGAACATAACCCTTTCTTGGTACCATATCTTTCGGGGGGGTTGTTTTTGTTTTATGATCCTCAGGAGGCTCCTTGAGCCTGCTTCAAAGCATCTCACATTTTACCAGCATCCTTTGTCCTGTTTACTAGACTGTTAATTGGTGTGACTGGTTCTGTCAAGATGTTTGGTTGAGAAGTTCTTGCAGCAGATACCCCTTGGGAGTGCTGTACAAATACAGCTGCATCTCAAAGAGCACATTCCTAACTTTGCCCGCAGGGAAAGCATGAGCATATACAGCATTTCTCAGGTTACACAATCTGTCAAGTCTGCAGAAAAACACTGTTTCTTGTACTTGCGCTTCTAGAAATCTGGATGTGCACAGTGCCTGTCATTGGGGCTGCGCGTCCTTGCTTTACTTAATTCCTAAGCGTTTTTTCCTTCTTTCGTTACAGCTCGTTGTGCTTTAACACTTCAGCATGCTTTCTCTACCCTCAGGCCACTCGAATCTGCAGCTTCCAGCGCTTCTGGCCCAGGATAGGTGTACTTTCTGGACCTGCCCGCTTCTCCCTACAGGGCGCAAACCTGCCCGGCCAGCTTTGTTATGACGCTGAGGGCCATAGACGGAAACTCACGGCTAGAAATTAGCGCTCCAATTTATACTGCATCCTGCGTTCCCAACGGAGCGCGCTGCGGGTACCAAAGCAGCGTGCCCTCGGGCCGCCCGCTCCGCTGCCTGCGGCCGCGTGAAGCGACCCGAGGGCTCCGGTGCTTTGCGAGTGAGGCTCCAGACTCGCCGTCGGCGGTTGGTGCCTGGAGCTAACCGCTGCGCTCTGCCACACGCTGCCGGCCGGCCGACGGTTAAAGCCAGGTGAGCTG